GGTACGGTTAATTTCCCTTTCTACTCCTTGCCACAAAATAGATGTATGAGCAGTCATAGGCTTTATAGCTGTAACTGTAACATTTGACACACTTTGCTGTGTGGATGGGGGAAGGAACTAGAGCATTTCTACAAATAACAGAAGTGGCATCAGGAGAAATGCATTTTCTCAGTACAAAGTACTCCTTCTGAGAGTTGAAATTATTCTTATCCCATCTTTTTTCCTCAGAGTATTTAAGATAGCAGACATATGAATTTGATGATTAAAAAAACAGTAGATAATAGAAAAATGAAAATTATGTTGTAAAGAGCTTAATGTGAAATTGTATTTTTATTTGCTATGAAGGAAAGTCGGAAGCCATTTCCAAATATTTTTTTCTTTGTTCTTCTCTGTACTTTTGGTTGTGTTCTCTCTTTTATTATTCTTACTCATTTTTCTATCTTAATTATTAGTTTCTGTCAGTTATTTTTCTTGTTTAGAATGTAATAAAGTTATTATCAATTTTTAAAAAGTGTTAAAATGCAAAAAAAAAAAGAAAAAAAAAAAGAAAGATAATACTTAGGAATGCAGAGTCCCTGCAAGAGAAGGGCTATCATGAAAGAATATGCCTGAATTAAATAAATTGTATAATATTTAAGAGACCTAAATACAAGTCATAAAGCACTTCATTTGTTGTTCATTTGCCTCTGTTATGAATTAACTAGCTAGATTTAGCCAGCCACTGCTTCCCAATGTCAGTTTTTCCTATCTGCAATATGGATGAATTAAAAGTAAGGGAAAGTGATCTGTAAAATCTCCCATTCTCTTTTTAATGTACATTTTAATGTAAATTTTAATTTGTTCTTAACCTGGGGTTTTAAATTTGTCTTGGGCTAAATTGATTTAATTCGACTTTACTTCTGCTCTTAAATTTTTGTATTCTATGTGTTTTATCTTGTGCCTGTTCACTGCCCTGAGTCCTTCGGGAGTAGGGCGGTATATAAATCAAATCAAATCAAATCAAATCAAATCAAATCAAATAAATAAATAAATAAATAAATAAAATGTAAGATATTAATAGTATCTGGTTGAAATAACTAGATACTGTAGTTGCTTGAAAATAAAATAGAGATGTCTATTAGAGCTAGGCATAATTTCATACGATTTGGAAAAGTGCTTCAGACTAGATTAGATAGATGATAGATAGATAGATAGATAGATAGATAGATAGATAGATAGATAGATAGATAATAAACAGATATAGACTATATATCTATACAGACTATCTGCCTGCCCAGACCCTGCCCGTTATAGTCTTAAGTCATGATGGTCATAAAATGGGTCACCCATGTAACCGACCCAATATTTACAACTTTTTTGCAGCAGATATTAAGTAAACACCACAATCATTAAGTGAACAAATTGTTTGTTATGGGGTGGTTTTTGCCAAAAATGGAAGTAAATGCCAGTTTTGGGCAAAAACTTTGTAAAACGTGGATATGTTGACTATAGCACACTGCTGTAAATGTGGGCCAGTTGCCATGCACACAAAATGCAGTTATTGGGGGAGTGGGGGGGGGAGGAGGCAACCATTACAACTTCAGAACTGGGTGTCCCCAGAGAGGTCATTGTAACTCTGAATGATTGCTAAGCATCCAGGCACAAGTTGAGGACTACCTGTACAAGCAATTCAAACTTCTGCATGAACCTACAAAAAAGATGTGGTTGTTCTAATCAATGAAATAGTTAAAGCAGCACATATTTAAGGTGATTTTAAAGCCAGGTGGGAGGGAGGCTGGAGCTTGTATGCCTTACTTCTGCAGAGTTTTTAAAATGTGTAAAGCCTTGACATATTATTTCTACATTCACTGTTCCAAAGATGGGCAGACTTCAGGCTTAAATGTGCTTCATTTTTACTAACCACACAAATCAATCAACTACTGTAAAGCAGGTTGAGGAGACAGATAACTTTCACCTCAGTATTTGTTCTGGGTATCAGTATTAAAAGGGTTCAGCCCTTTTGCCAATAAAAGAGCCTTGGTGGCGCAGCAGACTAAAGTGCTGTTAAGTAGCACCAGCTGCCTGCAATTACTGCAAGTTCAAATCTCACCAGGCTCAAGGTTGACTCAGCCTTCCATCCTTTTGAGGTAGGTAAAATGAGGACCCAGATTGTGGGAGCAATAAGCTGACTTTGTATAAAAAAGAACACCGCTGGGGGGGGGGGGTGAAAGCCCTACTAAGCAGGTATATACAAAAGTATGAAGGCTATTGCTTAACACATTGTAAGCCGCCCTGAGTCTCCGGAAAAGGGCGGCATATAAATCGAACCAATCAATCAATCAATCAATCAATCAATCAATCAATCAATCAATAAATAAATAAATGGGGTGGTAAGACTACTTTGGATGACTTCTTCCCTTTTTGCACTATTCTGCAGCATTATTTAGGACTGGGGGTGGGGGGGAGGCACTTCATTGTTGCTAAAGGAAACAAGGAATTAGAAACTTCTCCTAATCCTCTGCAAATCTCCCAGAAACCTAACAGCAGATCCTGATCTACTGTCCGCCCTTGCATTAATAAAAAATAAAAAAAAAACCCACTGTCTGAAAATATTTTGAAAGAGCCCAAACAGTTGTGTGACTCAGCCCTCTCCTCCAGCCTTCTCAGAATAAGCCACAGCCACACTACTTAGTTTGTGGGAGCAACTGCCATCAGCACTCCTTCTCATTCTAGCCCACCTCTTTCTAAAGGAAACTATTTGCACAGAAGGACTTCCTGAACAGTGAGAGTGCAGCCCAAAGCTTTCCTGTGGGGGATCAGGTGCAGAGATCCATCAAGCTCAAGCCCCACTACCAGAGAACAACTCTGAAAAAACAAAAACAAAACCATATGAAACCCATGAATGACAGCCCTGCAGGATCATGCTGCCCTCACCCCCCTTTTCCTCCCATCTTGGGTATCATTTAAAAAACAAGGCATAAATCCTTCTAAGCTCTTTAAAACTAGGAGTTTCTTTCACCTGTATCACAGTGATATAGGAAGCTGCAACTAAATTATGATTATAAGCATACTAATCCTTCAAGAGGTGAGTTAAGCTATGACACTCACTAGTCCAGGATGTAAGATTGGATAGCTTTTAAAAAAAGTCTCAGCCAAATTTATAGAGGAAAAGATTATCAATGATTATTAGTCATGCTGGTTATATGTCTACTATTGGCCACAGTTTGATTTGCTACACTGTTTACTGATTTTGACTTATAAATCTCTAACCACGTTGAGTCTATAGTTTCCTTTCATATTCGCTTTTTCCTAATTTAAAGTTTTCCACTGAGGCTTAATGGCATATCCCATTATCAAGGGGGACCCAGTCAGCAGATGTATGAACTGGAACCTTTTCTCTAGTAGCAACTCAGTTGTAAAAAAACCTCTCTTCTAGAATAAACCAAACCTCCAAGTAGTACTGGGTTTTAGCAAGGTTTTTTGGCAGGACATTTATAAATTCTGATAGTTATGGTTCACCTTTAACAAACTTTTTGTTTTTCTTATTATTTTAGTTTTTTTCCTATTTTCTTAAAAATTTGATTGTACATTGTTCTGAAGGTCCTGCTATTTTGTTCTTATTTACAGTATTATGCATGGCAAAAAAAGCCATGCATAATACTGTAAATAAGAACAAAATACTATTTATTTTCTAAATGCACTTATGTTATCTAATAAAGCAGTCTGCTATGGGCCTTGAGACCTGGGAACCACAAATACAACTATGTTCTATATAGGCAGACCTTATAGGGAGTCGGACTACAAGACTTCAAAGCCCCTTCCAGTTCTATGAGTCTCTGTTTTGGGCAGGACAAGAATTAACATTTCCAGTTTTATATCACTCTAAGGTTTGCATCAGGACATACTGATTTTGTCCATGAATAGTGCAGCCAGTAAATCATCTGTGGTTTGTAAACCATGTCTATATCATTTATGACTCTGGAATTCTGGTTCTGTGGGCACAAAAAACCCTCAAAAAGTTAGGGTTTTATTTCCAAGTTGGTAACTGTTTGCAATATATATATATTGGCTTCTCCTAGGTTTACAAGTCATATGAAGCTTGGTTATCCAAGCTTGTTAGTGACAGCCATTTCCAAACAGAGCCAATGGATAAACACAAGCACATGTATATGTACAGGTAGTCCTCAACTTACAACCACAACCGAGTCCAAAATTTCTGTAGCTAAGTGAGAAGCTTGTTAAGTGAGTTTTGCCTCATTTTACTTTTCTCACATTTGTTAAGTGAATCACCGCAGGCCTTAAATTAGTAACATGGTTGTTAAGTGAATCTAGTTCCCCATTGACTTTGCTTTTCAGAAAGTCACAAAAGGGGATCACGTGACCCCAGGACACTGCAACCCTCATAAATGTGAGTTAATTGTCAAGCATCCAAATGCAAATCACGTGACCACGGGGATGCTTGCAACAGTCATAAGTGTGAAAAACGGTCCTAAGTCGCTTTTTTCAGTGCCATTGTAACTTCGAACGGTCACTAAATGAACTGTTGTAAGTCGAGGACTACCTGCATTTATTTTAAAACTTTAAGACCGTCACGCTTCAAACCTTCAAAGTGGTTTCAGGTCCATTAAAACCAGAAGGTTAAACCCCTAAGCAATATGGTTTTAGTGGGACCCTACACTGGCCCTCAAACCTTCATTTTCTTACTACGTACTTCGTGGGGCTATTCCGATGTCGTTCCGAAGACTGCTGTCATATGAAATCAGTCCTGTTGGTTAAATATTGATGCTGGTAGGCCAAGAATTAAACAGACCTACCTACAGGCCTAAACCAGTGGCTGATCCACAAAAAAAAAGGCCACAGGTTGTTCATAAGGCTCCCTGTTCATAAGGATGCCCAACATAAAGAAATGATGGCGGAGGTTACACCGAGAAGACACTCCGATCCCCTTTGGGTTCTAGACCCATCTTTTTTCTCCCCCCACCCCCAAAAAACCTCCCCAGTTCCCCTTCCCCATTAGGTACCTGATGGTTTTTTTGGTCGCTTTCCCTGGGTTCAGAGGCTTGTAGGGCAGAACGCGGGGCTCAAAGCTCTGCTCGGGCTCGGTGCCTAGCCCCCCGGAGACGGAATTGGGTTTGCGGGCGGCGTTGCCTTGCCCTCCTTGATGCTGATGCTGCTCCAGGCCCCCTTCGCGGAAGCTGCCATGGCCGGGCCCACACGGCTCCCTCCACCCAGGTCACACTCAAGCAGGCTAAGGGTGAAACCAAGGGACACCCCAACCACCACAGGCCCCACGGGACGCAGGAGCGACAGGAGCGAAGAGAAGCGCATGGCACCGGTGGGGCAAGAGACCCGAAGGGGGTGTGTGTGGGTGGGTGGGTGGGTTACCAAGTTAAAAGGGACAAAAGGGGGAGCAAGAGCCGAAGGAAGGTGGGTAGGGGTGGGTGGGTGGGGGGTCCTGGGTTGGAGAACCAGGGAGATCCCTCTTTAACCCGCAACACAGCACTCGTGGGGATCGGGGCAGCCGGGGACCATTCCCACGAGACGGGGGTAGGGGGGGGACCGGCGTGGGGTCCTGCACAGAGGGAGGGGCGGCTGCAGCTAAGTAACGGAGGAGGAGGTGGGCCCGGCCCAATTCCGGAACCTTGAAGGAAGAGCGCCTATTGGTCCAGCCGTTCCATGCCGGCCCTAGAGAAGAATTGCGGGAGGGGGGGGCGGGGGGGAGTAGGAAATCAGTCCTTCGGCTCCTCTCGCTGAACGGGAGCAGCACCGCGGAAACGTCACTCCCGCTTCTCTTGGAAGAAGTCGCCGCTGGCGCTGGCGCCGCCGTCCGACGTGTCACCCTGGATAGTCCCGCCCTCTCCGCCAAACGTCATTCGTCCGGCCGCGCCCCCTTTTCCCTCCTCAGCCAATCCCCGGCCCGTAAAAAAAAACGTGGCCCCGCCTTTTTTTTTTTCCCAGGTTCCTGAGCCCGATTGAATTCGGGAGAGAGAGAGAGAGAGAGAGAAAACGGGGGCGTAGAGCGGGCGCGCGGGGGGGGGGACCTAAAGGCTCCCGCTTCGTTTGTGCAACGCCGCCGCCGATTTTATTGGGTGCCGATTGCCAGGGCTCGAGGTGTTTGAGGCTTGGCATCTCTTGGAGGACGGGCAATGCATTTCCCAATCTGGATTGGTAGCGACCGTGAATCGAGGTGACCTGGGTGGGATTGGAACGCGCGAGACTTCTATTATGAAGCGCGCACCGTTTGCAACCGCTGGTAGTAAAGGAGCGCTTTTGAAAGAGAGGGGAGGGGGGGGGAGAGTGTAGGCAACCTAAATAAACTTCCTGCACGCAGAAACCTAGCAAATTTATTTATTTATTTATTTATTTATTTATTTATTTATTTACTTACTTACTTATTTACTTACTTATTTACTTATTTACTTATTTATTTATTTATTTATTTATTATATTTCTATACCGCCTTTCTCCCGTAGGACTCAAGGCGGTGTACAGTCAAGAAAAATATAGACACACAAACATCATAAAATCAGGAAACTACCTGAATTTAGAATTTTTCCTCTTTCTCTCATAATTATCTAAATTATAATCACAAGCAGAACTAATGAAATAGTAAAGTTTCCTTAGAAGTGAGGTTATCCTTGGGGGGAAATGTAGAATGTATTATACATTTATATAGCAGTATGAAGTAAAGATGTGATTTCTTCCCATTGTCTTCATCTGAGGGGTTTTTTTTTTTTCATTTCTCTGCCTAGTTGTTTTTTTTGTTTTTTTTTTCATTTCAGATTTCCTCATGGTCAGGATATTCAAAGCAAGCGTATACTGATGTATGTACATATATCTTCATTCTTGTACTCAAATATCACAAATATATACACTGCTCAAAAAAATAAAGGGAACACAAGCAGAAGACATCCGAGATCTGAATGAATGAAATAGCCTTATTAAATACTTTGTTCGTTACATACAGTAGTTTTGTGTTCCCTTTAGTTGTTTGAGCAGTGTATAAACTACTGTATGTAAAGAACAAAGTATTTAATAAGGCTATTTCATTAATTCAGATCTCGGATGTCTTCTGCTTGTGTTCCCTTTATTTTTTTGAGCAGTATATATTCTGCCATTATAGAAATCCAGTTTTGAACTTTTATTATATATCCAGTCTCAATTTATGTAAAATGGGATGAGAATCAGGAAAGGACAAATCAATATGTTTATTTTACAATTCTCTTGAGTGTGGGCGCATGCAGTCCATGAAGATTTTTCACATCATTTCCCAGAAGAATGGCTATTATTCCATTGTAGCAAACACAACAAAAACATTATTACAGTCAATCTTTATTATTGACAACCAATCTTTAAAGTGCCATATTCTCTTGTTTTCTTTCCTGCACCGTGTTTGTAGTGATGTTTGAGACCTCAAGCCACTAGCTTTTCCTACCACATTAAAAAGTCATAACAAATGATTTTCTTTATATTGTTCTGTGAGCACTCTGATTATTACATTTTATGTTTTGCCAAATACCTACTTATGTTTATGTTTTGCTGAATCCTTGTTGAATCATCCAATATTATATTCAAGTCCACCTCAAAGGGCTATTCAAAAACTAAAAACATTTTCAAAACAAAAATTATAGATCCTTAATTATTTGAGCAAGGGAACAGGAACACAGAGGCTGAAAACTTCAGACTTTCTTTACTCTTTCAAACATACATTTTCACTGAACTATGTGTAACAATATAAAACTTTTATTTCATTTTTAAAACAGTAGCATGTGTTAAATCATATTGTTGTAACGAATCCTGTAAAACTGATAAAAAGTTTAAAAGCAAATATTACATTTTGTATTGGGGTAATTTGTAATTAAAGCATTCTAAAAGGCCACTTAATATTTCTTACTTTGCTTACTGTCATCTCACCTACCTTTGATTCCAAAAGTCTTTCATATAGTATTCTCAAAGTTTACATATTTTCAGAAATATCCTGATTTGAGTGAAAAGTGGGCACAATGTGCTTTTGGTTCTAATGCAGGAATACAAGTAGTCCTCAATTTACAACCACAATTGGGATCAGAATTTCTGTTGCTAGGCAAAGCAGTTCTTAAATGAATAATTCCCAATTTTATGATTTTTTTCCCATGATTCTTAAGTGAATTACTATAATTGTTAAGTGAATCAAATGGTAGTTAGGCAAATCCAACTTCCCCCATGGACTTTGCTTGTGAGACACCGGTTGAGAAGGTTACAAATAGAATAGAATTATTTATTGGCCAAGTGTGATTGGACACACAAGGAATTTGTCTTTGGTGCAAATGCTCTCAATGTACATAAAATGGCAATCACATAACCCTGAGATGCTGCAACTGTTGTAAACATATGCCAGTTGCCAAGCATCCAAATTTTGATCCCATGACCATGGAGATACTGTGATGGTTGTAAGTGGAAGGATTGGTCATAAATCACTTTTTCAGTGTTGTAACTTTGAATGGTTGCTAAATAAATACTTGTAAGTCGAGGACTACCCGTACAGTATGTCAATTTTTTTTAACAGATAAATGACTGATAGCCTAATAGATGAAACTGTGGCATAAGGGATGTCATACTCAGAGCTGAACAATTTAAAATATTATCCGATATGTGCCCCAAAATAGGGGACATATACAATTTTGAGTGCCGGTAGAGGGGGTCATAGTATCTTTGTACAATTATTTACATTTTAGGGGAAGATTTTATATGTACTCAAATTTGGCTAGAGTGTAGCACTAAGACAAAGAAAGGCTTTCCATTCCACGGGGCAGAATTAATCATCTAGTATAGCAAAGGAGAATCTAAATTGAGCTGAATACCAAATGTGGGAGGGGAGAAGGCAGCAAGAACAGCAACAGCCCATCATTCCTACGCATCATCCTCTTCATGATGCTGAGAGCTCAGCAGATGGCAAGTGGGATTCAGACTTGAGCAGATTCGGTGACGTGTCTCAACTAGTAAAGTAGCTAACCTCTGGGGGGTGGGTGTGTTAAGGATATTTGGCTTTGCTTTCCAATTCACATATTTTCTGTAATCTGAATGCTACAAAATTGGTATTTTGCAATTATGCTTTTATCTCTATATGTAAAGGAACAACTTCAAAGAACCAGTCAAATGGCTATGGAGGAAGCAATTGCTATAATGTCTACCAAATGGGATTAGGAAAGGTTCCTGCATATGGCCAAGTCAGTGGATATACCGGTATTCTCATCCATTGCTCTTTTAGAATGAAATGCCTAGTAAAAAGACTAGCACATAGAATTGTTATTTTTTCCCCTTTCTTATCGTAACCGAATAAACTGATTCAAATGCCTTGCCATTTCTTGTGGAATTAACCATTCCATAGCCTATTATGGTTAAAAAAAGAAAACCAATATATCCAGGCTAGTTTAAATTGAATAGCACAGTTTTGCCATTGCTATGCTGGAAAATGTTAAGATACCGTACCAGGTTCTGTACCATTCCAGGGTTCAGGAATACATTCTCTTGTTACAGTTTTGTGTCCAACTGTTTTAAGGATCCTTAAATGATCTATACAAATGCTACTCCTCCAGTCTCATATATAACATCATATATCTGTAAATGTCAAGTGGTGACTATTCATCTTTCTTGAAGCTCAAATAATTTGACAACCAAATGAGAAGAGAGGACTTATGGAAAAAGACCATGATGTTGGGAAAGGTTGAAAGCAAAAGAATGGCACAGCCAAGGATGAGATGGTTAAATAGTATCATTGACCCAATGGACATGAATTTGGGCCAACTCCAGGAGACAGTGGAGGATAGGCTATGGTCCATGGGGTTGTGAAGAGTTGGACACAATTTTGTGACTGAACAATAAATTCATCTTTCTTCTTTTAGTGTCATAATATTTGATGGTAGTTTCATAGGCAATGGCAAACTGGATTGAAAGGGGGCTTTCTACTTTGGATAGAAGCAATTCATCCATAAAAGATTTCAAATATGTTGGTAGACTATAAGGATTCTGCAACAATTCCAGTGGGAATTGTTATAGAAGGATTAACCTAATTGCCAGTAGCTTATACTCAATACTGAACCATCACAGCAGAAAGAGATAATGTCAGCAATTGCGTTTGGAACAAGGAGGGAATTTATTTATTTATTTATTATATTTCTATACCGCCTTTCTCCCGTAGGACTCAAGGCGGTGTACAGTCAAGAAAAATATAGACCGGTTTCTAATGCAATCTGATGGAAAGGATCGCAGAGCAAGATTTAACCCGAAATAAGGTACGAGGCGCCACACGACGCTTTGTTTCCATTTCGCACTAGGACTTCTCTGCAAATACAACGGGGTGGTTGCAAATAGAAGGTCCAACCGGCGAGTCAATTACAACGAGGCAGC